AAAATGTCCATATTCAGAGTTACCGTTGTACTATATTTTATTAAAATACTGCAGAAATGCAATATATTTCATGATTTTAAGAAATTGAATGAGGGCTGCATGGTTAAAAGAGGAGGGGGGCTTATTTATTTTTGTATCCAAATGAGGAGGGGGGCTTTTTGATTTTTGTATCCAAATGAGGGGGGGGGTTATTGGAGAGGGGCTTGAAGAGAAGGGGGCTAAATATAGAAATTACAGTACCTCCATTCCTTCCTCTCCCTTCCCAAGCATGCTGCAGGAAGGGGCAACTGCAGGGGTTAAAGCCTGGATTGCAAGGTTGATGTATAATTTGCATGTTATGTACCTGGTAATATGGAGAAATGAGCTAGTAAATATATCCTTGCCTATAATTAGTTGCTGATTAAATGTTCAAAGATACACAGTGTGAAGCATGAAAAACAAATGGAAGATACCCACTGCAAGAAATTTTCAACAAATATATATGGATTTGTTCACTTCATTTCTTACTTTCGACACAAGTAATTATGGTAATTATAATTACAAACAGAATGTACTGTCATTTAAATACTTTATATGTGCTCCATCTATATATGTTAATGTAATATAATATAAAAAATAATGTGTTTATTGTTAAAATATGGGATATATAATACCGTAAACCTCTGACTATAAGCCCTGGGCTTATATTCTTTTGTAAGTGATTTTTGATGGGCTTAGGGGGGGGGGGCTTATATGCACAGGGGCCTTATACATGGACGATCAATTGTGTTAGTAATAAACAAGTCAGTCATAAACAGGAAAATAAACATGTATTAATAACACACTCCATTAACATAGTAAGCTATAAAGACAATGACATGAGTGTTTCAAATATCGTTCTCTGTTATATTAAAAGACAATGTCAATGTTAAATAACATAGTGGGATACTGGGCTTATATTCAGGGGGCTTATATTCAGGGGGCTTATATTCAGGGGACTTATATTCAGGGGAGCTTATATTGGGGGGGGGGGGCTTATATTTGGAATGAGGTGAGTATTATATTCAGAGGTTTACAGTATACAGTTCAAAAAAGCTTGTATTTTCTTGTCACAGACACAGATTTCTGGGTGCATATAGAACAGCTTATACGTCAGGTTCTCATGTGGATCCAATGGTAATTTGATATCGCTGCATCACCATAATATAGTGTAGCACAGAATGGCCTTGTATCATACTTTAACATCATGCATGCGCCTTGGTCATTCATGTGGAGATATTACTATCACGATAGAATTAGTTACGCCAAGTAACACGTCGTACACGTCAGGTAGCAGCTGAAATATTTTAATATTTGCCATAATAAGCCCATAACCTGTTGGAAAACAACCAAAACATCTTCACCATTTTACATTATGTCCGAGATACATTTGAATGTCTCGTCTTTTAACGAATATTCAAGCCCTCTTTTCGCTAGAACAACTTTCATAGCTCTTTCAGTATTTGCCATTGAATATAATTTAATAGTAGTACGATTTAAAGCACCTTTAAACGTATAAAAACCCATTTTGTATACTATATTCTGATGAGAATCTTTGTTTAAAACAATATGATTGTGAACGTGTGCCCGCGCGAATTTAGTAAGCGGAATAAACAAAAGCAATAAAAGCGCATGCGCCATTTATCTCATTTTGGATAAAAAAATTCGATTTCCCCAGAGTCATGCCACAACCTAACCCGCGAACAGGCATACTCTGGGAACGAGATTGGTCTGTGCGTTGCTTAGAACGACGCAGGGTTCCCATTGGTTAAAATTGAGTAGTTGGTTATTAACTGCCATAAAAGGTAATGACATTTATACAACAATAGATTCAAGGTGTCGACACAAAGTAAAAAATATCGTTCTATAGCGATATAAAATGTATTAGACGAGTTGTATAAACTAAAGTTTTGTTTAAAGTTAAAGGGTACGTGAGAGTCAAAAGCTCTTAACAATATTCTAGACGGAAACGATGTTTTTGCTGTATAAGAGAGTTTGGCAAATACAACGGCGACGTTCTTATATCAACAACAGCACCTTTACTATGAGACAAAGGCGACTATAATTTGCATTCTTGAGCATTCTAGTACGCCGTAGTTGTTCAAATTCAAGCCCTTGCGGTGCTGTGAATTCACTTAATTTTTGCTACTTCAGGGAATTTCAGGGTTGTTTGAAAGAAAGACAAGTGCTTTAATTTAAAAGTTTTCACTCGAATACAAGAGTACATTAAAAAGTAATCGAGATTTGCGTTTTGTTTACATAAGGCATGTCTGTATTAATTTGTTAATTGTATTTTAATTTGATTGACAACACTATAAATAGTAATAGGCACAGACGTATTTTTATTGACTAAACCGGCAGGCTCTAATTCAATTCAAAGAGCCTGTACGCAGGCTAGTTCAGAAGGAACTAGATCATCTCTTATTTTGTAATTGATGGAGCTACGCAAGTAAATACAAAATCCACCAGCATTCCTTGATCTATATCTTTTCTGACAATATCATAACCATCAAGGTTAATCATATTATCTGTTATATTCGCATCAAGTCGTGTCTCGTTAAATGCAATCAGATCAATGAACTTTTTTGATATTGAAAAATTAATTTCATCTATTTTTTTAGGTAAACTAACAATATTCAGAAAAGCCATTTTAAAACCTCTTTCATTCGGGATTGAGCTAAGGGTTCTCATAAATTCACTGCTCACATTGCCCCTTGTTATATCTAATCTGCTTTCTGTTTCATCACTTGCTTTACATGGGCCAGATACATTGTCCAGTCTTTCTGGTGCCCATGACTTTGGCGAAAAAAATGGCTGTCATTACGACTTGAAGCCATGTTGGTGTTTCCAATTCTATCAGACTTCAAGTAGGTGCAGAAAGCACCTCCTAGGGCTTTATCACCTTCACGATTTAAATGTAGTTTTGATCTGTTTAATAAAGGTTTGTCTATGCAACTATTATCAATAAAAGTAATCTTATGTTTAGAACATAAACCATGAACTAAATTATTTTATAATATAGCATTTGTAAATTCTGAACGCTGATTGGCTAAGAGCCGTGTTGATATAACTCCATGTCAACACTAGCCCGCGTGCAGGCCCAAGGAAACTGATAGTGGGCCTGCAAGCAAGGCCCGGTATTTTGTAAAACGCCCCTTTTCATAACACGCCCCATTCGCACGTCAATTGTCAAAAAAGAACCAATGACAGCAACCCAAATATTAACAAACAAATTCGCATTAAAATGTTGCGGGGTTTTCTCTGCTTTAATATTCAAAATAGAAACAATGTGTACATGCCTGTGTTAAAACTCCAAAAAAACAAGCAACGCAGTCAGTAATTGCCAAATTTACAAGTGCTCATTTTCAACTAAAATCGGAACCGGCAAATTAAGACGAATTTCAACAGAAAACCAGTCTCAAACTTCAAATCGTGAGGGAAGTCGGTGCGACCACATCAGCATTTATAATGTTGCTTCGCTGTCGCCATTGTTATAAATAAATTGTCTCACTTATCAGATCGTGTGTGCAATTCTTGTTGGCGGCGGAAAGTACGAAATTTATTTCAGTTATTTCATTTGGTGAGAACTCTACAAAAGAAGAGAGCGTTCAGAGTCCAGATCGTTTCGTTTCAAACGGCAATTTAATACCGTCTTCTCTTTTGCTCTCGAGCTCTCAGCGAAGCCTTGTAAATCGCAAAGTATTTTGAATAGGCTTACATGCAACTGCATCTCAACATCAACCAAAAGATAATTTTCTTGAGGAACATATGACGTATCAAGTCTGTTTGAAATTAATGAAACTCAAGTAAAGGTTACTATAGTTTTATACCCTATTCGTAATAAATGTTGCTATTCCAACACCTCACGACAAGCAATCCTCATTGGCATAACGGCAAAAACATCTCTTCCTTCAAGTAAACAATAAACAGTCTGTTCTTGTTCCATTTGTAATCGAAAAAAGTGATCAATTTTCGAATTTTAAGCTTATCTGAGAGCCTTTGTCTATGCCTTTGTGATGAATCACTGACCTAATTATAGAATCCAACAGCAAACAGCCAATCAGAATGCCGCGTTCGTGGGCGAACGCGGAAAGTACAAAATACCGGGCCTTGCTTGCAGGCCCACTATCAAGTTCCCTTCAGCCTGCTCCCTTGGGCCTGCACGCGGGCTATGTCAACACGGGAAATTTTCCGCCGCTTGTAACACGGAAATTGTTCTTATTCTTCGGGCTTTTGACATTGCTATATTATAAAACAAATATAAAACATTTTTTCCGTATTGATATATAGTTATATCAACACTCGTGGAAGTTGGGCAAACTCGAAATTGTGTGAAAACACTCCGCCCTTCGGGCGTCGTGTTTCCACACAATTTCTCGTTTTCCCAATTTCCACTCGTGTTGATATAACTGTATATCAACACGGAAAATGTTTTATATTTGTTAAATATTGCTCAATTTTTTTATTGTTTAGCTTACCATCATACCGCTTGATTGTACCTGAAACTGCAATTTTCTCGGTGTGGACCTTGACTTTGTTGATGAGGTTTTCCAGGATGGCTGCTACCTTCTTGGGTTCATCACGTACCAGGTCATTTGTGCCAACATGGATGATGACAGTGCTGAACTCTTGCTCTGATTGGTGGTTTCCAAATTTCTCGGTAAGCTGGTTCATTGTGGCTCCATTGTATTAGTGTGAGATAGCTTTACTTCGAGCAGCTCTTCCAATTTTGCATGCATCAATATTCTTGACCATGGAATCTCCTATCACTAACACTGTTTTCTCATGGTTGGACTTCTTGACTTTATTTGGTGCACTGCCAGCTGTAGCCTTTGATTTTGAACTTGTGCTTTTAGAAGAATCAGAACTGATTAAGGGATCTTTTGTCTGACCACTCTTTCTTTTTGCGACTTTGCTGGTAATTAATTCTTCCACGTCAGGCAAGTCTTCTACTTCAAGCACAGCATAGGGGTTACTTATTAATGTTCTTGTGTCTGTGCCGGTAGATGATGTCGTTTTCGTTTCTTTCTTTGACTTCGTTTCTTTCACCTCTGTCCACTCACTTTGTTTCATGTCGAGAACATACTTTATGCTCTTATTTTCGCAACTAAGTTCAGTGACAGTCGATTTTAATGAGTCAATTTCGACCGCCATTTTAATGTTTTGTTCCGCTGACAAGGCCGATATTGTATTTTCACATTTTGCTAATACTGATATGTTTTGCTGGGAATCTTCTTGCTGTTTAGTGTTTATTTCAGCTAGCAATGTCAATATGTTCGCAATCTGGTGTTCATAATCCGAACAATTTTCACATACAGGCGATACAGCTGAAGCAGGGAGATTTGTATCGCTTAGTTGCGAGTTTTGTTGTTGTGACTCAATGGCGTCGGCCACGTGCTTTGTCGTTTCTTGTTGATTTTCAACGCCTTTCCTTTGAGCACATGTCTCCAGTGTGCTTTGTAGAGACTTTTCTTCGTTATCTTTCATGATAAGCAATTTTTCTTTCTTCTTGCCAAACCATTTCAAGGTAAATTTGGCGCATTTGAACATTTTTTCTTCCTCGCGAGGCGACGACCATTTTCCATCTTTACATTTGAGATGCTTGATTATGCAATCTACGAAGACTTTTAGAGTAGGTAGATCGCCTTTCCACGCGAAATTACCTTCATTGTTAAATAAAAAAGCTGATGTGGCTATATTGTTTTCGATTTTGTCGTTTTTACAATCAGACTTTGTGATAGACACGGAACCCGAGCTTTGAGTGTACCTTCCGCCATCTTGGCTCGGACAGTTGGCGAAAGCACCGCGTATAATGCTGGAACCACCGCGTATAATGGCGAAAGCACCGGTATAATGCCGAAAGCACCGCCGTATAATGCTAAAAGCACCCAACAAAATGCTGTTTGTACCCCTCTCAAAATGGAGCCTATTACCCATAATTGGCGGGATCACACAATCTCACTATTTTATAGCAATTCCACATCTCTATTTAAGGTAAATCGATTGGGTATCGGACAGGATACACTTCAAAATTGACAACAGTCACAACCATATCGTTCGCTCGATCGGTCGGGTCTAGCATATTTTTATTCGGCGAAGCCTACTTGAACATATCCATATTAAAAATGCGCTATATAAATGTAATTAATTATCATTACTTTCCTTGCCAAGCCTTGATGTCCACTGAAATCTGATCCAACTTCTCGCTTGACTAATGTAAGACAACACTCAATGATATCGAGGAAGTCGTGTCATAATGGACATTACTAAACCACGAAACAGCGAAACGAAACAGCGAAACAACGAAACACCCGAACGAAACAGCGAAACAACACGTTTTATATTATTTTTAGTAAAAGGAATAAACTACATTTAAGTCAAACTAGAACGAAGTTAGACGAGATGAAATTAAATCTTTAATTAAGTTACAAGGTTACAACGCCATCAGCACATAATAGTCTCAGTAGGTAAAGGAGAATAAGTGTCAAAACTGTGACAAGTTTACCCAATTTGAAAAATATTTTCATGTACGGTATGTTTTATTAGTGAATCCTTTATAAATCCATAGAACCCCAAATAGTTAATATTGTAACAACCTCGTTCCCAGGCTCTTTGCTCTTGGGGAAGCAAAGACCCTGGTCGGAGCTGGTCACGTGACCCATAGAAAATTGGTAGCCCAAGAGGGGGATGC